TTTTCTATGGGACATGAACAGATTCAAAGTATTTCCAAGGATTTCTGGGAAGAAAATCAGGATGTCTGGCAGACACTGCTATCAATTCTTGGTAGTACTTCACGACGATCTTTCACCTTTACCTCTTGGTTATGTGGTCTATGCATCCTCTTCATTCCCAGAGGCCACTGTGATTTCCACCAGGCCAACAGAAAGAGAAGAGACAGGGAGCATGCAGGGTACAGATGTCTCATGTCAAATCCAGCTGTGTCAGCTGTTTTCAATATTTTATGTTCTTGATGATGGGTGGCATCCACCGTATCATCTGTTTAACCAGATTCTGGTTCCAGTCGATTCACATTTGCACTGAATAACAGATAATCTGATTTGGCAGAGTTGCCCTACTGTCTCTATTGCTATTTGTCACCTCCCCCCCGATATCAAGAAACCTCAAGTTATTTTGAGAATTAAAACTGAGTGGCATGAGTCTGCCTCTCAGGATGCAAACTGTTAACTAGAAGAGATAAACGGTAAGTCTTCTTTGCTTGAATTTAAGCCATATGTCTCCTGAAGGTCCCAAACATGTAAGGAACACACAATCTGTATTTTAAGCTCATGACCATTTGGATAAGTAAAGCTTTCTGTCAAATCAGCTCTTGTACCACTGTGGTTTAAAAGAGAAAGCTGGTCAAGTCTCTGAGCCATCATCCCATTTCTAACCTACTGCTCTGGCTTAATATTTTTAGAATTTCAGTGAAACAAGAGCCCTCAAGATACACAAAGAAGTACCTAGAAATGATGCCTCAGATCTCCTTGGTTTGTCAGTCTGGGTACAGATTTGAAAGCTGAAAAGATGGGGAATTGAAATTTCTCTTACAGCTATTCTGCTTAAATAGTGGCAGCATGCCCTGAGCGCCCTTATTCTAAAAACAAAAAAGCACCACCAGTGTTACAAAAATGCATAGAAAAATAGAAACTGCTTCAAATATTTTACCAGATTAGCTTTTAGATTCAGATTTAATACCATTCATTGCTCCTTATGTTAGTCCAGTGTCTAAGAGTCACAGCCACAGATGAAGATTCAGCTGATCTAAATTTTACATTAGCATTGATCAAAAAGATCCCTAGCCAAAACACTCACAGTCTAAATACAAGTGATAATAGGCAGATAGGGATACCTGGGGGAAAGCTAAGAAACAATAAGACAGCATCAGTCAGCAGAAGAAACCGTAGAAAAAATGACATTGTTTGCACTAGTTAGTAATTATTATTTGAAAGATACTACTTCCAAACAAAAATCGACTCTATTAACCAGGTATCTTGTTATTGTTAATATGTTGTTATTGTTAGCATTGTCACTTATTTTGTCACACTGCCTCCGTCAGAGCTTGAAAAATACCCTGCCGACTCGCTTGTGGTTAATAGCAAGCTGAGGAGCAGACCAGCCTCCTAATAGCTACAGAATTTAAATTTTCATTTAATGGGAGGAAAAGAAAAGTTTCTAGCACTTCTGCACATGAAAGCATAGTTTCGAAAGCAAACCAGTGGACTCCGTCTTTGCCCTGCTCTAAATCATCTGATGCAACAGCAGCGCTAAGGGTAAGGAGTGCAGTGGATTTCCATATTCCCTGAGGCTGATGTGAGCTGACTGGGTCACTGTGACACAGACAGGATCTGGGTGCTCCTGCACTTTTCTACTGCACTTTTCTATTGCACTTTCTAGGAAAAGTTCTGAGATAATTAAGACAGGGAAAGATTTCAAATAAATAGCATCAAAATGGACTGATTTTCTGAGGGAATTTGTGTACAGATGCCACGAAACATGTAGAAGAACATGCATGACAACAGATCCCTTGCTGCTGAGAGTTGAAGTTAGTTGTACCATTAACTGAAAAAAACTTCACCAGCTGGACACATTAAGAAAAAGGAGTCTTCAAATGCACGTACACACCTACAAGCCAAATGTAGTTATGAATCAACAATCTGGAAGCTAATAAGGAAGGCTGATCCCTCCCCGGTTGCTATCCAGCCTCCTGGCAGGAGTGCCACCCGTCTTCACTTTCCCCATAGTAGAGACAGGATGGAGAGTTAGGCAGGGTCCCATTGAAAAGCTGCTGGGCTACTCAGTACTTCACCTCTCCTTTTTTTGTTTGTTTGTTTTAAATACACGTCTGATTTAGTTGTTCAGATGGTAGGACATCTGGTACAGTTTTCAGGCCCTGCTTTAATTTAACGATTTAACAGATTTAACATCTAGTACATAGGCTTGTTTTACCAGGAATTTTTTGACTCCCACGCTTTTCTTTCTAATTGGAACTATGTAAATCACAGGCTGCCGGTGCTATATAAATCATCTATAGTATGTCTGCTATTCATTTAAATAACAAATCGGAACTTTTTATTTCTAACTATTACATGCTGGCCATAATAAGTCGTACACACATGATAAATTTGGAGCCTTGCTGTGCTCTATTAACTTAGTTTATGAAGCGTACGAAGAGTCCTAACAAGACAGACTTCAAAAAGCAATCCTCCCAGTGTTGCTGTAAGAGGAGCACTGCTTTACGTACTGTAAGATCTCAAGTCAATTAAGGCATAAGCTTGAGACATATTGCGTAGCAGCTCCAGTATAAGTTCCATACACAATGGTTCAGTTGCTGAACATCAGATAACAGAAGACACTAAATTAATTAGAAAAGAGAGTGACCTAGCTCCATTGCCAGACCTGTCACTGACTTGTCATGTGCCTTGGAGCAAGCCACTCCCTGCATCTGGGCTTCAGCTCTCTCCCCTTTGTCTGAGTGGTCTATCTGAAAACAAATCCCTTGCTCTGAAGCAGAGGCGTACTGCGGGCGTGCAGTGCTGAAGAGCAATAGGGACCCAACTGCAAACATGGCCATTAGGTACCCCTGTGTACCCCAGTCACTTCCCTATTATATCATAAATAATAATAATTGTACCAATAGGACTTCATAAAAAAGAACACAATAAATTTACTGTTATGTCAGCTGATCTCATGTAGTTTAAATATCAGCACATCCAAAATTAAGAAGAAAATAAACCTATTCTTTTTACATGGCAATTATTTTTTAAAATGCTACTTTATCCCTGAGCTGGAATTCTTGGTGTTCTCTTGACTAGGAACTAATGATCTGAAAAGGGCCACATAAAGCTTTGGGTTTTTTTTTCATTAATGAGAAATAATGGCAGACAGTAGGCCACATTGCCTGTAACAAGGGAACTTCTTCATAGTAGACATACGACTTAACAAAAGGTCTAAACATCCATTTCTTTGCTGATTCTTCCTTTGGGGATTTTTAAGAGTTTGTGGAGTTGTTTTTAAAATAAAAAATTGACCTGGTCCTTATGTGGGAAATAAGGAAGGTCCTTTGTGAGAAGTGAAGTCCACTCTGAGACTTAGCCTCATCACCACTGCTTCCTCACTCAGCTGCTTTGGCTCCATCTGCCAGAAAACTGAAGCAGGGAAAGGATGCTGGCCCCAGCTCTGCGTATGTTCATCCACACTTTCTAGTTGTTAGCATGGTCGTGGGCAGTTTTGATTTGTGCCAGACATCTTTCTCCCAGTCCCTGGGCATGATTCATGGGTTAGAAAGGGCCAGGAAACTCCCCGTAGGCAGTGTGGATGTGGCCACCCTGTCTGGAGAGGAGGAAGGCCATGGTGGGCCAGCAGCCCTCTGGGCAGAGACCTGTCCCTAGCTGTAACACTGACTGCTGCAGGGAGCTGTGGGATCACCCCCTGCAATGACTATCGACACAGCCTGCAAGAGCTACACAAACACTTAAAGGGCAAATTTAAGCCTGCTGATCCCCCAAATTTCATCCTCTCTACCCACACTGCTAGCTCTTTGTGTCCTCCCCATGTTTCAAAATAGCTGAGCTTGGGATATCTGCACTGACCACTCAGCACTGCCTGTGCCCAGCCTGAGCTGACTGCACAAAAGACAGTTTGGGTTCATGTGAAGGCAATTAGCAAGATTTTAAGTTTTCTCACTAAGAAGTGCTTCAGATGCTAAAACTGCTCTCAGGTTGGGAGTCTAGGGAAGCCATGCAGTGCTCACAGGAGTAGGCTTTAGAGAGTTCACTCTTAATGGATTCATTCATTTACATGTATGGGAAATCAAGCAATTTTGGTGACTGTAATTTTAGACTGCAGGAGAAACTGAGCATGGCACCTAATGAGGTATTTAGAATAATCAAATAGTGTCACATAGTATCAAGCCGATTGCTAAAAGAAAGGGCCTTGATGGGAGACAGCTCTTGGGTGAGCCTGCTAAGTCATCTTCAGGCTAGAGTAGTCCTAAAAAGGATCAGAAATTGTTGTGGGGACTGCACTAGCCTCCTTCAATTTGCTACCAAAGCTTTGTAGGCTTGTATCTTATTACGCAGGGAATTCACACTTAGAGCAGCATGAGCGGGGAAAATAAGTTGTTACTGTAACTTCCATCCTGGCATTTCCAGGTGGCTCACGAAGAGCTTTCTTTAGCAGAGGGAAAGGATTCGGAACCTCATTTTCCTGCACTGGCAAACTTTTCAGCTCAAAAGCCATGATGGATACTCCTGTTTTGTACACAGCATCTCTCACTTTCTCCTATGGCACCTGAGCAGCTCTGTGCGTGCTGAAGCAGAAAGACCAATGGATTGCAACCATTCTTTGTCAGGGGTTTAAGCACATCATCTAGCATGCCAGCTCGCTTTGGCTAAGGGGAGGCAGAAGGGTGTAAACCTCATATCAGAGAGTTGAGAAGAGCACCCAAGCAGTTCCTACTTGCCTCCCAAAATTCAGACCCTAAAGGATGAGAATGTTGAAAAGGCCCTAAGCCACAAAATACATTTCTCCTTTCTCTTCTCCCTCTGCCTTCCGAGCTGCTGCCCAGCCCCCCATGGGCAGAGCCGGGTGTGTCCCTGCTGCCCATCCATCCTCCCTCTGGTCTGGCACAGCTCTTCCCGCACATTGCCCGGGGAAAGAAGGGGTTAAGGCGGGCGGATGGCTCTGCATTTACCTGCTCTGGTCCCAGTTGGCAGCAAAAAGGACGAGGATCTTCCTGCCATAGTGGTCCAGGTTGGCCAGCCCGCCGGGGAAGCCATCCTTCAGCGCCTGCTTGATGCCCGGGTCTGTGGCCTTGAAGCTCTTGAACATGTCCAGGTTCTGCTGGCGATATTCAAAGTACTGGGCCAGGAGGCGAAACGCCTCGAAGTGCTGAAACTTCCTGGCCCGCAGGAACCGCAGGATGAAGGCATCGTCGGTGCGGAGGAAGCC